TCGAACCCGGATCGTTTAGTTACGCGCCAAAGGCTCTACCAGTTAAGCTATCCGAGACCACTGTTCGTAACTACTATTCAGTCACATATAAAGACCTGACTTGAGTAAACGCCACCGTCCATCTTATGGCAATAACAAATATTAATTTGTAGTTGAATTTGTCATGTGGATAAGTCAGCGACACGGTCGGGAACACAATGCTACGGAGGTATTTTTGTCGTTTTGGATGTTCTGTCGATTGGATATTCTGACCTTGAACCGGCTGCGCAAACCTGCGCACAAAAGGCGAAAATATTGCTACAGAGGGGACGAAAAGACAAGTTAAGGTAGTACTACCATTACCACAAGAGCCAAATCCCAAAACCTAACTTTATTTGATTAACGTTGTAGATTTCGCCCTATACTAAATCACGTTGGAGAAAGAGAGACAGAGATAAATTTTGAATGTTTTTTATTAACAAATATTCTCATATGCTCGGAAACCATACTGATTGTTATTAAATATGTTCTAGATGTTATTTTCTCTCGTTGTCTCAATTTTTATAAGAATCTGAACGTCCAGTTTTATGAAATAAAATAAAGTCTTTGATTTTCCATAAGGATCAATAGTAAAGGCAAAAATATGTAATAAATATTAATATCTTTTTTTCAGGACTCGCCAGACTTCCAAAAATTTCACTGGTTAATCCACAGATTCGGTAGAATCTGGCACCAAGTTCCGTTCAAATCCGTTGTCAATGGAGCGCCAGACTACCGACTGTGTTTACTGTAAGCAGAACGGTATTTTGAGGTTGCAAAATTTTATTTTATTCTACGGTACTTTTTTTTCCTAAATTGTATATTATAACAGTAATTCATACTTTATTTTACTGTTATTAATTAATTATATTCACTTATAACAATTAATCTACTTGAAATTACTAAATTTAATCAGCACAAACTATAGCAACGCAAAAATATCGATCCTGACTTTTTTTCGATGGGCAAAGTGATCTGCCACAGACTAAAATATTCGAGAATGCATAGTAATCCTTCATTAGATGGGAAACTACAATTAAAACAAGATATTTCACAACTTGCATCTACACCCGCCAGGGTGCGCTGGAATTATTTTTACATAAACTGTAGCTTCAAGGGAATAGTTTGCTATAAAAAATGCAGCCAACGCGAGATTTAAGTTGGTACCAACTGTAAATTTTTATTATAATTACAAAAAATACTAAAATCCGAACAAAAACAGTTTCACTGTAAAAAAAATCGCGCCAAGTCCACGTTCACATAAGACTATTAAGAAAAAAAAAATTAGTTTTTTCTTTACAAAAAGACATAAAATAAAAAAATTAAAAAATCCAAGTAACCAATATGATTGTTTATGATTTTCGGAAATAAAAAATTTTGTAAATTTTAAAATTAAAAAAACAATTTTGGAACGTACGTGGTGTGCGTCATATTGTGCATTTCAATTCTTTTAAAGTCCTAGTAAATAGATTTTACAAATTTAATTAAAAGTAAAATATTTCGCAACAACGCACACCAAATACGTTCCAAAATTGTTTTTTTAAATTTTTAAATTTACAACAAAATTTATTTTAATTTCTGAAAATCATAAACAAT